ACATCAAACTCCCTAAATTTGAACCACGGTGTTTCGACGGAAACCCGGCTGATTATTTACAGTTTGTAAGGGAATTTGAAATCATGTTAAGTGGTTTTTTATTAACTGATGAAATGAAGTTAATGTATTTGATGAGGTATTGCACTGGAGATGCTGCAAGAGCTATACAGTGCTGTAAGTTTATGAAGCCGAAAGAGGGCTACTACGAGGCTGTGAGCATACTACGTCAAAGGTTTGGAAGACCTTCGATGATTGTAGGGAAATTATTCGAGGCTGTTAAGGGTAATGGTGGTCAATTACAGGATGACTCCCAGGCACTCACTGAGTTTTTGGATAATTTGCTGATTTACAAGAATGCATTGATTTCTATGAATTGCATGAGTGACCTCAACTCGAGTTTTATACTAGAAGTAATAGCAAGACGCCTACCTACTCGACTGCAAAGGAAGTGGGTGAAGATAAGCTCCCGTATGGAGGATGAGGGTATCGAGCCAAAGTTTGATGATATCCTGAAACTGGTAAAAGATAGCGTCAATCTATCTATGAGCAAGTTCGCCAGTCTATTACATCTCACCCCTAGAATAGAGCAGTCTGAGAGCAAAATGCAATCATTGATGACGAATAGGCCTCAGAGAGGTGGATATCGAGAAGGCTCCATGATGTCTAGTAATGCATATAGACCTAGTGAGTGTAACAGGTTTCGTAGTACATCCTCAACAGATAAGTTACAAGATGCAAGACAAACACGGTTGTGTTTTACACGTTTGCAAGAGGTGCATACAAAGGTGAACTGTGAACCAGTGAGCAAGTTCAGTGATAAGCTAAATGTAAACTCCAGGCCTGACTCCGAATTGTGTGACGATAACGGTGCGGTGAAGAAGTCTGTAGTTGCAACTGGTAAGCCATTGTTGAATAGAGTGTCACAGAATAGAGTTACTGCTTCAGAGTGCAGTTCTGACTCCACAAGTTTACAAGGTATTACTAGTCAGAGTGAAGATATAAAACCTTTAAGGATTTGTGAGGAGGAACCCAAATCATCTACTTCTGTTATTAAAGAGTTTGAAAATGATGAAGTCGACCAGATAGATATGGTAAATTGAATATTTGTGATAATGATCATGATAGTGCAGATTTGTCTTTGGTTGATCATGATGAAATGAGGGGAATGCCTACTACTGCTAAGTTAAATAAAGGTTCTGTACAACTACAACGTGAAGTAGAATTGAATGCAGTTGCAGAAGGTGTGCATACTTGTGAGACCGTCAGTGTAATTGATCAGCATGTAGCCCACCTATCATCAGATGATAGTGCTAAACCCGAACTAGTAGTGAAAGACAGCAGTGGTGGTAATCTTGCAGTTAGACAACTTTCTGAAAGCCGAACAACAACAGCTTCTGATCCACCGCTAAGTTCATCAACTGGTATCAATCAGTCGTCGTTGGTGTTGTCATCCACAATGAAACAGACGCCCATCAACTCAAGTACCTTGTGCAATGACTATGATAGTATTGGTGCATTTGAAAGGACGAAAGATATTGCTCAGTTTAGTGAGGATAAGCCAAGTGTAAACGAGAGAGTAATTGTTAAATTGACTTGCATGAATAAAGGCATTTCTAGTTTCAAGTTACTATTTGAATGCTATTATCTTTGGTGTAAATTACTCTGTTTCTACGCTTGGTTGACCAGATACGTCGTGTGTTTGTTCGTCATCTATATTCTACGATACAATGACATGAGCGTGTTACCGTTCAGATTTGAGGATATAGCTGATAGAAGGAAGTCAGCAAATGAACTCTGCGACGATTTTCCAACCTAGAGCGTCAACCTGAGAAGGGTTGTAGGCGTACTGCTGTAAGTCCTACAGTTCTTCAAGGGTAGTTCGTCAAGGCAGAATCCACCACATTTGATGTGTTGATTGTACATATGTTTGTGTTAAATAATTGTGTGAGTTCCAATTATTGTAATTGTTGGTTAATCTTGTTTGTGTCCGGACATTCCACAACTTACAATCGTCAACCTGTGAAGGGTTGTAGGCGTACTGGTGTAAGTCCTGCGATTCTTCAAAGGAATTCCACCAAGACGTGATCCGCGAGGTTATTTGTACTGTTTGTATATATGTGTGGTGTGTCATATCAATTGGTGTTTTTGGATTCATTGTGTTTACTCGTTGTTTTCGTACCTTGTTGTTATTGCGTAATTTTGTTAAAATTTTCGTCGTGATTACTTCTGAAGTTGTTTCGAGTCTTCTACGTTCGTGAATGAATTGATTGATGTTACAGACAGCAGATGGGTCGTATACGCCGGGGAGGCTATTGCTGAGAATGAAATGCATACGGAGATAATTGTTAGCTGCGGTCCCACACGCCGGGGAGAAAGAGTGTAAACGACTGAGGCTCGCATACGTCACCGTTACTAGAACTGAGGCAGAATGAGTGACAAGCGATTGCAGTGGTAATTGGTAGTGAGTAGATAAGAGGATGTGCGTAGAGTATCGTGAGGTGGTGCTATGGTCACGTTGCATTCTGCAAGAGTCATTCTAGCAAGTGGCGATTGTGTTGCAAGATGTCAAGAGGATACCTTTTATCTGGAGGCGCAGGTCGTCATCGATGTGTGAGATTGTGCTGTGGGTATGCCTGTGGTGTGTTGGCTTTTCTGTTTGTTTTCTATTTCAGCTCTGTCCGTGTGACCCAGGTTCTCGCAATGGCATCCAAGTCAACGTGTATTGGTCGTGATGGAAAAAAGGGATGGATCCCTTTTTTGCCGGGGAGTGTCAATGCAGTTGAAGATTGAACGATCAATTCATGGTTGTTTGCTCAAAACCAACTTCCCCATATTTTCGCGGAGACATCAATACGACAGTCATCGTCTCATCGGTCGCTGTTCAGAAAGAAGTCAGGAGAAAACCGTCAGAAGTAATATTGTGATTTATTATTGTAATATTTGTCCATAGACCTTAGTTAAAACTTAATTTTAAAGTTGCCTATATATTGGTGTTACAATAAAGAATTCTCGAGTAGCCAATCGGTGTTTTGGTTTTGCGTCCGTTATTACTAAGCGTTTCTGAGAAACTTCAAGGAACAGCGTGAGTCCCAGCGTAGCAAGAGCCGGACATTGACGGTTTACGAGACGTGGCTCACAGACGGACTAAGAGTGAATCAACTAATGTGAGTAAGGAGCTGAGGAAGCCACTCAAATTTATCGATTGTGTGCGAACGCCTACGGAACTCGGACTTGGCGAGAGAACGATGGAAGGTGTTTCGCACTAATACCTCAATCTCTACGCCTTGAAATTATAAAAGAATGTCACCAGCTAGCACATACTGTGGTAGGAAGAGCAACCGACCTCTTGAAGCAAACCTTGTACTGGCCAGGTGCTAGGGAAGATGTGTCAAAATATGTACCTGAATGTCGTCAGTGCTAGTCGGTGAAAAGACATCGGTGCATATAGCCGCCTCTGCAGTCAGTTATACTTACGGCAGTAGGTGACTTGTGGTCCATAGATATAATGGGTCCGTTTCCACAGACGTCCAGTGGCAATGAGTACGTCCTGGTGAAGACGAAACACGCTACATGATAAGTAGATGCCGTCATGATCCTTGATCAGTGCTCTAGGACAGTGACTGACGCGGTAGTTCGACACATCGTCGCATCAAAGACGATATTGACAGAGCAGGGCCTTTGTTTTGAGGGCGAAAGATTTCATCCCGTTTGCAACAGTTGGGTATCAAGAAAATCATGACAACACCACATCACCGAGAAACGAATGGTTTGGCAGAGAAACAACTGTGCACTGGACGAGTGGTTAATGGTGGCTGGGAAACAAAGCTTCCACTGACTGCTAGCACATCGTGCCTCCACCCAAGAAACAATGACGAACTCGCTCTTTCATTTGATGCGTGATAGGAGACAGCAACCACCAATATACGTCAAGACTCGGCTCCCTCACCAAGAGTGGAGTGTGACGAGGTTGTGGACTGAACGCAAAGAAAAGTTTAGGGATGGAACGGATAAACAGAAAATGGACGCTGCGAAATTTGAACGGAGAGGAGAATAAAATGCCTAAAGTTTACAATTGGAGATCAAGTAAAGTGAAGAGAAAGGATGTTGTTAAATGCAGGCTAGGATCACAGAAAATCGCTCCAAAGTTGGAAGGACCATACACTGTCATTGAGAAATGTAGTCTTGTTCAAACCACCAGATAGAGAGAAAAACAGAAACGTGTTAAGGCCAGTCAACTGAAGAGAAGGATACAGTTGGAGAAGCACGCGGAAAACAACACACAAAGGGAGTAAGTGGCACCATGAAAGTTGGGTTGTCTCCTCTGAAATTCATTTGATGTGGGGAGGATTGTGACGCGGTACTGTCAAGACTTGTAGGTGGCATACTGATACAGATATAAATATGCATACCAGCTACAAGAATGTCGAACAGCACAGAGACAGACTTGACGGAACATGCCCCTAAAACAATTTGGGAAATGAGAAATGAACACTAAGATTCACATAGGTAAAACTGCACGATACTGAAGATATATGAAAACTGTTTTCGAATGCACAGTACACAAATTTCGCTTACATCTGTGTATCGAGCTGCAAATAAATAATTTGGCTACTTAATTCTGTCTCTGGCATCATATCGGGCAGCACGTCCCAGTTGACGTAATCAAGCGCCGGCGTCAGGTAGTGAGGTAATTAATGCCATTAAGTTGTAGCAGAGGGTGAAGAGAAGAAGGAAAACGACAACTGAAAAATATTCTGTTCATTAATACCGGTCCAAAATACAAGCGATAGTAATGTGCAAGGTTCTCTAATGTGCCGGTAGTAAACTACGAGTGTGTAGACATTATTACTGTAGATTTCCTCTATGAATCAGCGCTACCTAAATATAAATGTTTAATGACCTGTTAACCTCATTTTCACTTGAACCGGTGATAAATCTTGTGCAGTTTTGTGGAATTCAACTCTTATTGAAAATCTGAAAAAGCTTGTTTAAGAGTACTACCGAGTACCGTTTCTCGGACGGGGGAAGTATAACCCCAGATATATTTCTGGCATTTCTGCAGTTAAGGAATGCCGGTGGAAGAGTCCAAGTCACGTGTCGCGTTAGTTTAGTTATTTTACTGTTATCATAAATTTCGTTAACTTCAATAATCATCCATCTTAATAGTCAGTTATGGACAGTAACAACCAAAGTTTTCGTGCATAAATCAACAGTTGACTGTAGGCAAAGGGAAGAAATACTCATGCAAAATAACCCTACACAGCGCAGGTAAATGCTACTAAGGTATCAAACAGGGCTCTAGCCAGTTTTGAGAGCCAAACACTCTAGTAGATATTTAGATACGACATGACTTCGGATACTAACGTAAAATAGTGGTTGTTTCAAATGTGAATAACTCAGTCTCATATGCCTTTTTGGAGATGCTCTTCGGTCTAAAACCGCCGTGTAAACTTTAGCTGCTTTTCCGGTGCTTTTGACTGACTAATAGCCTCATGTTGTGCATTTCTAATTTTTTTTGAACTCTGAGTTCTTCATATTCAGAAATTAAAAGTTGCTCGACCTAATTTAACACCGTTTCGGAATAGCGTATCCTCTCCGTATCGCACTCTGAATAGCTTTATATAGAAGGTAAACCGAGACAGAATTACATGTTGTCTTAGTGGATAAACCTTGAATCTATTTAACCACTGAACTGTATATGTTAATCAACTCATAATATATATATATATATATATATATGCCTAACACTCGTAAAATTCTGTTTGTTGTCTGGCTGTATGTATATCATTAGTTTGACTGTTATTTTTGATTACGCATCTTGCTTGTTGTAGGCGACGAACTGTGGCTGAATACAGTTATCACTTAATAGTTCGGAAGTTTTGGGCACTACTATATAAGCTGAATGATACTAACTGGTTCAGATAAGTAGTAAGGGTACTAAAAAATAGCTTTGGTTGGAATTAGAGTGCTCACACGAATGCTTCACAGGTTTTAACGTGTATGCTAGTAAAAGTTTCCCCGAGACTTCAGAAAAAATGCATTGATTAGAGCTCTCTTATTGTGGGTTAACGGAATGCTTAGTTCTCCTAGCGTGTAAGGAATGTCGTAAACAAAACTGACTTGAAGCCCTCCATTGAGAATTGTACAAGTCTTCAGCTGCTAGTCATCTCACACCGCAGACAAACAGCTTCTGCTTTCTAGGTCTTGTGGCTAAGGTTAACTTCCTGTTCACCCATTTCGATTTCATCTAGCATCCTTGTAAATTGTGTTACCAAGGCCTGAGGCCACAAAGAAACTTCTTAGGTATCCCTAGGTCTTAATGCAAATGCTTGCGCCGTTCCAGTCACGGTTATAGGGTTTGCCCGAGACACCTTACAATGACTAATTCTTCGGTTTTTGCTTCACTCAACCCGTCAAGGTTCAACTGCCTGGACCTTACTAATAGTTAACAGAAATAAGACAGTTTACAGCTTATTTTGTAATCATGAAGTAGTTTATTGAGCCGTAATAACGAGAACTAGCATGGATTGTTGTAGGTGTACGTTGTACGCTTGATTCCACACATCACTTTTTGGTAGAAGTATGGAATTTTTAGTATGGATATCGGTAGCCCAAATTTTGCAGGCCGACCATAGATATCAGGTGTGCGTCGGCAGGGGATCGAACTTCAGACCATGTGCATGGTCGACGAGAGTTCTAACCACTGTGCCACCGATGCATGGTTAATGCCTGGCTATGTAGACGTTGACATATAAGATAAACTGTAGACTAGTGATAAGAAGTAGTAATTAAACTGCAGAAATAATACGTAGTCAGTCTATCGTAAACTGGTGTGTGTGCGCGTTAGTACGAACTTGATCACTAATTTAATCAACTTAAAAATGTTGATTATTAAGCAAATCAGAGGACTTGTTTACCTATGAAGATACTTTCCTAAGAGAGAATACTAATCACTAAATATATTGAAGTTATGTAAAGTAAAACAGATTTGTCTGGCTAAGTGCAAGACTTGTGTTGTAAACCAGCACAGCAAAGGGGCATGTTATCGGTCGAGCATGTTCGGTTGATTTATCACCCTACACGAGAGCATGCAAAGGCGGACAGGAAAAGAAATGTAAATGAACTATGATAAGTAAAACTGTGTGGGATGAAGAGTAAATGCTTGAGTAACAACTAGGAATTATTTAACTTCCGAGTGATTACACCAACCATGTTACCAATAATCACTAGACTTCGGTTCTTAACGTCTTAAGGACCCCAATCAGACTGTCTTTCAAACCAACAGAAAGATGTTGTGGATTAATGCCATGTTTTAGTTTGGCCACCTAATCTGCTAACGTGGAGAAGATGGTGGCTTAATATGTATGACAAATGCCCTAGCCACTCTACGTTTGATTTTATTATTACTGACTATATTATGCCACTGACTGACTATTACTGACTATTATTATGTCATGTGTCCAACCGGGGAATAATCTCGTTGACTTGGAATATGCAGACGATATAGTCCTTCTAGGCGAAGACGCTGACGAAATGCAGAGTCTTCTAAACACCTTGAGCCGCAATCTACGAATGTTTGGCATGCGATTCGCTCCCGCCAAATGCAAGATGATGTTACAGGACTAGACTACATCGACGCCTAGTTTAAAAATAGGAAGTGAAGTGGTAGAGCACGTTGACCGCTTCACTTATTTGGGAAGTACCATCAGCCAACGCCAACGGCTGATCTCTGACGAAATCTCAGCACGAATACAAGGGGCTCGTTTCGCATTTGTTAGTTTACGCCGACTCTGGCGTAGACGAGATGTTCGACTATCGACCAAAGGGCGGGTGTACTGCTCATCAGTCCGCTCCGTCCTCCTTTATGGTTGTGAGACCTGGTCACTGAGAGTGGAAGACATGAAAAGACTAGCTGTCTTTGATCATAGGTGCCTGCGTTCTATTTCCCGTGTAAAGTGGCATAATAAGGTGAGCAACATGGAGGTTAGGCGTAGAGTTCTAGGTAAAAAGGGAAATCAATCGACGAAGTCGTGAAGCTACAAAGACTGAGATGGTTAGGACATGTGTTACGTATGCCAAGCCATCGCCTCCCTCGACGAGCAATGTTAGCGGATATAGGGTCAGGCTGGAAAAAAGCTAGCGGCGGTCAAACAAAAACATGGCACCAGTCAATGAAATCCACAACAGTTGGTCTAAGCCACGTAGGAAGGTGTAGACTTCCAGGCTGGGTCCTTGGGACGGTAAAAATCTATGGTTGGAAACAATTGGTGACATGGCTCAAAACCGTTCTCAGTGGCGCAGATGCATCCACTCCCTGTGACTTATGATCTTCAATGAAACTGTTTTGTTTTTCTTTATTACTCCTTTGCCTCACACCTCTGCTCACTGTTTCTATTATGCTTTTCTTGTACTTTCTTCTCTTGCTTCGCGTGCTACACGGAATGTGGCGACTTGAACTTCCGCACATTTGTGCGAAGTTCTATGTCGAAAACAGACAGACAGATATTATGCCACCTAACACGAGAGATGTAACTCAGATACTAATGACCAAAGATGATCAGTCTCTTTGTATCCACCACTTTCAACTGCTCTACCTCTGCCTTAGAGGTGGGTGGGGGCAAACTACTGTACTGCTTAGTGGCACACATGATTTTTGATGGATAGCCAGTTTTCACTCCAGGACAAGCTACAAAATGACAAACAAGCTTTTTTAATTCTAACAGAAATTTCCCCAGCAATCAGTCGATTATGACTGTTGTAACTTCTTTAATAAGTGAGGTGGTAAAATGATCAACTATTTCACTCCCTATCCTCAAACTGAGTTGGTGCATACCAGTCCTGTAGCATCAACTTACATTTAACAACAACGAGTCGCATATCAAACACGCAAATATTCTCTGAAGATATTTGGAAGACTACATTTGTCAGTGTGTTCAACTGGATGGTCTATATCATCTGCATAGTCTAAATGAACGAGACTTCCGTGAAAACAAGTCAGTCTCTAGCTCACCAAAGCTAGTCAGAGCCACCGTTAACACACCTATAATAGGATAAAATGGAGACGTTGTGCATCCCTAATGGACACCACTGACTGTTATCGCTCCAGATGACAACTGTGTATAAGCTATTGCATGACTGTGAGATTCATTAGAGTGTCTTGGTTAGCGCAATATACCTTCTTAGCACTTCAAGGTTGGATATTGCCACAGCGCCTGTCGATTGATGGGGTCAGGCTCTGCTGTCAGATGAAGAAGTGCTGAACGCCAGTATGTCACAGAACCTATCGAAGGATGAAAGTTCACATTCAAGCCCAAAGTCTGACTTGTTTTCTAGGTTTTTTTCCCGAGAATCGCTTATTCGTTTCAAGACTATGGGTAATTAATTTTTATAAACAGGTATTCACTGAAACAAATCCTGAAATACCAAAAGAATGTGACGGCGTGCGGCAGTTTACACAGCCTATATCTAATTATTTTAATATTCGTTCATTTATTTCGAAACTGATTGTATTTCTGTTGTAATAAGTTGAAATCCAACCTCGATTGATCCTGAACATAAGACAAGATATGCAGCAGCACCTGATTTTCAGTCGATGGGTTCAGAGTTAAAATCCCGTGATGTCCGCTGTTGCCTCAGCAACTGCTTGGTGTCTTGAGTCCTCCTTTAGTTAGTGTGGCTCAGAGCCTGTTTTGTGAGAAATCTGTCCTATGTAACTGTGCTCCACCTGGATAGAGAGCGAAATATTAGTGTCAAAGACTTGGATCTGACTCTTATATGGTAGGCGAAAATGTCACACCTTTTTTTCTTTTTCCTTCACATTCCCAGTAGAACATAGGGCTTCAAGCTGGAGGGTTGAAGTTTCTGTGGTAGTGTTTACTTTTAAAAGATGAGGTTGCCAGCCTCATGCCCAACCTTTCCTCTTTACCGGCTTTTTATTACTGGTTTGGCGAGGTAAAGGAGTGCGTCGGTCGGGGATTGAACCCCGGACCATGTGCACAGTCGACGAACGTCTTAACCACTGTGCCACTGGCGCACCAAACCATTTGAAAACCTGGGAGTACTAGACAGCTGTTCCGTCCTAGTTTGGAACTCTTCACCAGTACGCACCCACCGGGGTTCGAACCCAGGACCTTCTGGTTACAAGGCGAGCTCGTAGACCATTAAGCCACTGTCACATATTGTACACAAACTGTACTTTACTTATATATAGTATTAAATCTAATCTCACACATGAACATTTGTTTGCTGTTGCCTAGAAGTACATTGATCGGTTAGTCACTACATGTATTTTTGCGTATTTTTTAAAATTCAACTTCGGTACCAATGCCTGATTCTAAATGTCTAATCACAAACTAGAAACTAATCACCATAGTAAACATTCAGTAAGAATACACAAAATTGGTTTTAGTAGGATTCTAAAACCCAAATGGGACGATATTTATGATACATTTGTATGTCATCGAAGTTGGTGCTTCTACGTGACGTCAGTCATTGACAGATGATCTTCAACGTGTCTATGTAAGTACGGCATCACTTGCACTGTACAGAACATTTTCAGGAGTTTAATTAACAGTTTGAAAATGATACGTTTTTCACCTTCCAACCAGTATATCTTCCCGTGAGCAATGCTGTCGTAAAATCTGTCCATTGGTGGATTTAAATGTCACCCAGTCAATAAATACAGCTCGTTGTGAGCGCTTGCAAGACTGTTTGTGTTACAGAAATCGGTACAGTGTGCTTATCTCCTCAATACACGTGTCGGTTAACCTAACCTGATTTTCTAGAGTTTACTATTCACCTAGCTACAGTTAAGCAACCTACTCATGTATCCTCACAATCAGGGAATTCGTTTTCTTTCCTGACAGCCAAAACAACTATGTACTAACCAGTCAGGATCCAACTAATTTCAGCTGATAATCTTCGTTCATCGTCCTTAAATGCCATTTAAAAATAACACATTGGTATCTAATATATCATATCTCACGTAAAATTACTTAAAGGCTTTCCAACCTTCTCAAGTACTGAGGGTTGTATGCAAATATATATATATATATATTTTAGTATTTTTTAGTACAATTATGGAGTTTTCAGCATGTGATATCAGTAGCCCAATTTCTCTGGCCGACCATTAATATCAGGTGTGCGTCGGCAGAAGATCGAACCCCGGACCATGTGCATGGTTGGCGAGAGCACTAACCACTGTGCCACCGACGGACTATAAACCAATTAGATTATTCGTCAAAGTGTACTGTTAATCCTTTCAGTTGTGCTTTTTCTCCTCAATTATCGTCTCTTTAATTCCTGATTCCCTTTGAACTATGTGATCTTACAAAAATATGTGTACAGTGTCTGACTTTCAATTGTCATGCTCTACTCTGTAGAACTCAAAGTCAGTGGTTTGAGAAGTGGTCTTTGAAAAAACACCAACCAACTCAAAGCAATACACTTTAACAATATTTGAAGACTGCCTTTTAGTTTGTGGTTCATTCTTTGGTTTTTATTTTGTATGGAATAAATAATTAATTATGAAAGATTGAGGGATTATAGATAAGTTGCTTGAGATTAGGTATTTTTACAGACCACTGATCTCAACATTTATCACAGTTGACTAATTTCCAACTAGTCTAATAAGACTCAAAAAAGAGACTGTTGTTTGACAGAAAGTTATTGAGTTTTACCACTAAAGTAAAGTAACGAAATCATTCGTGTCAGCTGCACTATGATCATTGCCTTTCAGCCAAAGAGAACCTTCCGGGTTTGAATCCCGCTCCATCTGCACTAGCCTAACAGAACTGAGCTCATCACATACATATTTCAGTGGTTGAATGGTGAACAGGTCCTCCTTGTAAGCTGAAGGTTCTGGGTTCTACCCCCGGTAGGATCATGGATGAGCACTACTATAAATAGTTCCAACCAGTAAACTCTGGTTTGTGCGTCGGTGGTCCAGCCATACACGTGGTTGTCATTGAATTCCCCGATGAAGCATTCCTAAATCTCGCCTAGAGTTTACTAGACAATAGTAGTGCAGCTCTGGAGGCTAGCAATCCCACGCTGGAGAATAAACAGCACAACCACTCGTGAAACTTCAAAAGCCTGGAGCCATGTGTGTCACTCCTCCTCATACATAGAGAAAAAATGCCACTGTAATTTTCAGTGATTGACTAACTAATATAAGATAAGTGTTGATATTGGTACCGTAAAGCCACACTGTGCATCTATATCGTTTTGCATTCGCTCTTACCTATCAAATACCTATTTGCTTTCTTTTACTCAGCTTTTTGCAACATATGCATATAAAATGTCAAACTTGCTCTGCAGTGAGTTTTTTTTAATACTTAGTCTGTATAGATTGATTAATTATTGTCGTATATTGTGTGTGTGTATACATATATACATATATAATTGTTGCTTCTCTTGCTTTCCTATTATCCATTAAACTTGCCTTTCTCCTGTCGTGATCACACAATAAAGTAGTCGTTGTTCATTCGCCTGTTCTGTTTGCATGACCTTGTCTGTCTGATTGTCGATTTTGACCTGACCTTATTATCATGACGTCATTATGTATGTATGTGAACATGTATATATGTATATGCGTGTGTGTGTGTCTGTGTAGGGCTATAGGTTAGCATCACCTGTTCATTATAAAAGTTCAAACGCTCTCCTGAATTTATACTTTAAGGGTGAATAAAGGTGACCTCTAATAAGTTTTATTTATTCCTAATATGTTATTTATTTATAGCCATTATATGGGTGTGTCTGTCTACTCAATAGCAATAGGTGTCTCCAATTGCTTATTTATAGTTGGAATAATACCTCACTTCCTTTGAGTTTTTGTTCACTGGAAAAGTTTGAAAACAAAGACGTAAATTTCAAATTATGTGTTTTAAGGATTTCATCATGAACTGGCATTGGTTGGAGAACCATTGGTAAACCTGGAGTAGTGGGCAGCTGTTTCATCCTAATATCTTGGGACTCTTCATCAGTACTCACCCACTACATGGATTCTAACCCAGGACTTTCCGTTACAAGGTGAGCGGACTCGTAGACCAGTAGGTCGAGTGTGAAGAAAAATACTCGCCACTGATGACATTGGTTAGTGCCAGTCACGCTATATCGTGAATTGACAGAAGTTGAAATTCATGGAGTAGCCATTGATTGGATCAGGTCCCAGTGGTTGAATGACATACAAACTCTCTCTCCTTGTAACCAGACGGTACTGGGTGCGTACCACTGAAGAGACTGGGACGGAACAGCTGTCCCTGGTTTTCAATGTTTCTCTAACCGATATCACCCCATGATGAAATCCTGAAAACCAATGAAATCCCTGTAAACTGACACTTGAATGTAAGTTTTAATTTCCTTCTTGCTTCTTCTAGTATGATTGCTTTTCTGCAGGTAGTATGAATTGTCGACATCTTTGTGTCGTGATTAAACTCCTTTTTCCAACTCATATAGAAGAGTAGTAGTGACTTCCTGATGTTAAATCATTTATTAATTTTTTGTTTTACCCGTCTTTTCTTTTTGTCAGTACAAAATTTCCTATGTACACGAGAGAGAAAGAAAGAGAGAGTAGAGTGAAACTGCAGTTCAATAATTATGCAATAGATAATAAATGATGTGGATGTCATAGTCAGATCTCTTTGACATAATTCTTTGCTAAGCTTGTTAATGTTGTCGTTTACAAGTAGAATGACAAAGAAATACCCCTTCTCAGTAGTCATCAATAATTTAGTTATTCACACTGTCAATGTTGATGCTCTAACCCTTACCTTAGTGATTCCTGTATCATATGAATGATGTAAGTAAGTATACAAATGAGTTGAGATTTAAAAAAAGCGCAATATAACCTTGTGTGTGTCAGTTAATTATAACAATAAATCCAAGGAATACTATTTGCGGTGGTGATTGTTTTGTAGAATAGCTTTCAATCACTAACACTTTACTCACCTAACAACTTAATCATGTTGACTACCTAAAACTTCTCAATATAGTAGACTGGTTGATATAAATAATTTACAAGTATTGGTTTTGTAGGGATTTTCTTTGATTGTATGGAGGATTTCACCATGAACTGACATCAGTTAGAGAACCACTGGAAAACCTGGGAGTACTGGACGGCTGTTTCGTCCTAGTTTGGGACTATTCAGCAGCGCGGACCCACCACAGGGGTTCGAATCCAGGACCTTCTGGTTACAAGGCGAGCTCGTAGACCATTGAGCCACTGGCATCCGTAAAATAAATAAATAATTTAAACTATTAGCCTCAAATCACGAAAAGTACCCATTTATTCATAAGTAAAAACAGTTTTTTGTTCAGCGAAGAAATTTCTTTTCAACGACTTCATTTTCAAGCTGTACAGTCATTTTTATATGACAGAAAAAGGTTATTAAATGGCACTAAATAATTGCTCAGTCAATATACGTAGATATGTGATAAGAATAACGGTAATTAAAATCTTATAAGGGTTAGAGTTGAAGTGGATAAATTACAAAATTATTGAAGATTGTTAGCCTCAATGCGTCCAGTACTAATTTGATTTTGGTTGCAAAGAAATCAACAGTTTTTGTGTGTGTGTTCATCTACTCTGAACAGGTTTTCATATAAAACTAGGCTATTTAAACCACATATGAGAGGGCTGATGATATTACCCGACCTCTTTCCGTCAGAGAGGTTTCGTGTGCATTTCGGGTTGTGAGGGCGACTGTTACTTCCCGACTGCCCACACCGTGGAAGTTGGTTGCGTGACCGCAGAGCCCAGGGGACAACTGCTTGAGACCGGTCACACACGCGGCTTGTTTTTGTGTGTTCTTTTTTGTTTGGTGTGTCTCAATAGCATATTTATCACTTTTGCCCTGTGACACGGCAGCAGGAAGCGCGGTCGTTGTTAATCCGGGCGCCGACCGATCCGGCATGATATTTTGTGAGTTTGTTTGAATCATGGTAATGGATTGGGTAGCTGCTTTTTGTCTAACCCTATCCAAACAACCTTTCTGGCATGGTAGGACCTCAAGGACATAAGTCTCAGCCAGTATAGCTTGATTAGGTCATTGCGGTGTTCAAGCCCGACCACCACGTCAAGGTAGCAGCTTTCGGTCAGACTGAAGTAAATGGAAAGGAGTTCGAAACCTAGGGCTCCCACTGACTGACTGCAGAACAAAATGTGTCCACTAAAAGAAAGCAAGTTATAATCAGCTTTTTTAGATTCTTGAACCATAACTATTCATTTTATTGTATACTTGTCTTTCAGAGATAATCTTGGATTAGACTTAAGTCCTTATAATATTGTCCAAGGCAAATCATTTACACGATCTGTTTCAATCAGTGAGCCTACCTCTTCCAGCATATCTTCAAATTCACCTGGTTGTAATACAATCTCATATAGTGCTATAACTGGTTGTTGTCTACCATCTATACGATCAGCTAGTAGTGGTGAAGTAGGCGGCAGTACAACATCAGCAGTTTCTTATTCACCATATTCATCAGCTGCTACAGCTATTTCACCTGAAAGTCCACTACCTGATCCAAACTATTTCACTGCAAACCCACTGACTGCTTTATTCATCAATCCTGTAGAAACACCTACATCTATTCAATATTCTCCAAGTATGTCCTCTGCAGATAATGAACAATTATCTCAATCAGCAAATCAGCCTAATGATGGTAATAATAGTGGTGGTGACTGTCAAAGTCTGCATAATATTGATTTTGTCGCAGAACACTATGCCCCACTTCTACAAAATCCAAACATTCTCAGAACAATTAATTTTCTATCACATTTACTTGATTCCCGTTTAACAAGTGATTGGCGTCTACCTCTTGAATATTGGCAGAGAAATTGTGCAAAATTAAACCAATTTAATGTTTGTCAACCGCCTGTTCCCTCGCCTCATGAGCATATTACCACTGCTGCTACTACTGGTACTACAACCATTGGCAGTAGTAGTGGTAGTCAGTTAGATGTTACAGATTCTGCACCAGTACACAATTACACAACAAAAACAACATCAGCTACACTGAATTCATTACAATCACCTGAACCAGAAGTGTTCGCGGTGAAACGTTGTAAGCTGAGTAGTAATAATAATAATAATAATAATAACAACAACAGTATTAATCCACAAGTAAGTTGGTATTTTTTTGGTTTATGTTCTTCTCTAATTATATATAGTACTTAAGTTTAACTGATGACGAGTCTTAAATTAGGGCGAAACATATGTCAATGATTCTCTAACTGATTTCGGTCTATAACGAAATCTGTACTGAATTCCTACGTACTTTTACCGTCTAGTTGGTGAAGTATTATGTGGTGATCGGTTCAATAAGTGTTTTATTGATTTTTTTCATGCCAGGCCCTACAAAATAGGCTTGTCTTACGTGTGTATGGCCACTCACTGAAAATTGATTTTTTCTCTTCATGATAAAGTGGTAGATATTTACAGTTCAGGTTTTTGTAAGTGTGTTTTTCTTAGTTTTATTTTTGGATTTCAACAAAATAAATTGACGTTAAAAGGGTTATCGGCGACTGACAGTATAAACTGCAGGGCAAACGTTCCATCCTATCTGGGACACATCAGCTGACTGGTGTACCTGCATTACGTGAGTGATGCAGTTTTTTTAAATTGTATCTATCAGTTCAACTGCGCTTGTGGAGCGAGTAATATTGGCCGTTGCTCTAGGAACTTGATTTTTCGTGCTCACTCGAGAACATCACCCAGCATGGCTAAGGGTGTAGTGAAAACTATTAACAGCTCGATATTGGAACATCTGGTGCAAACCGGCCGGCCACAAAGCCAGCATAAGAGAATCCTTCTCTATATTATACCGGGTTCCAAATAAATTACCGAAAACATCGAAGCACCGCAGGCTTCAAACAGCAGAGGCTATCGCGATTCGCATCAAACAACCAGCTCTGTGTCAAAAGAAGCAAGTCCAGCCCTTACTATTGCCTGGCCTTCAGTAGAAACCATAAACTCATGAATTTGTAATATTATCTTCCTAATTCTTCTGACATTCAGCTCATTTTATGTTGATGCTATGGAGTTGTAATCTATCAATATTATTATTGATTCGATGTTATTTAAACAGCAACATTAATGTTGTTCATAGCACTAATTCATTCATTCACTATAATATATATATATATATATATATATATATATATAATTAACTGTGGAGCCTGCTGATGCATTTATCGAAGAGAGTACTCTTTGTTCAGTATCCATTCTTTTACAAAATTATAGCTCAAAGAGTAGTGACAAATGTACTAATCTCTAAAGTATTCTGACTTTCAGTCATTGGTACTTTTGGATTGTGGGCAACTGGGTAATGTGATAAGTTGTTCATTCACTGTAGACTGATTGTGACTCATAGTCATAAGTTTTCCCTCTACTTCTCTCTTTGTCAATGTCTCTATTGCTTGTACCAAGTTTGTTTATTACAATAAAGTAAAAAAATAGGCGTGTTACTTTTCGACCATCGATTCATAAGTTTTAACTTGGTTCTATCTTATGAAGAGTTTTACAGCAATAAGGAGTCATCAATATCATCTCCTTCTCATTACTTAATGCCTAAACTTGTGCACTGGTTGTTGTTAACTTCAATTACATTAGAGCAAACTTCATACTTTCTTGGTTCTCTTAATAAGCTTCGATAATGCAATAATAGTGAAGATTTGTAACTCATGGGGATTAGTTTGATTTAGTTGTATTCTCTGAGTTGACTGATTTAATAATTGCAAAGATTTCGTTGTCTTTTTGGAAACATGTTCAGTGCGAGTTTGTAGTATGAATTCAAGTTTTCCATGAATGATATAACTGTATCTCCTGACAGCTATTGTCGTAATTAGTTGTTAATTCACATCTCTACTGAGCATTTTTGTTGACTTGGAATTCTGACTTTCTCGTGGTGTAATTTATTATTTTTTTTAATTGGTAGTGTGTTTACAAGTCTCCGATTCATTAGAGAATCGGGCTACTAGAAGTTCCCTGGCAGTATTTTTGGTGTTTCCTCTATTTAAAATTTCTACATTATTCCAATTCAACTGGTGTCCGTAATTACCTACATGCATCTATACGAAAGAATATATATCATGCATTTTTACAATTAATTTGTATTCTTGGATTCGGACGCAAAGAGGACGCCCACTTTTTTGACTGATGTAATGTTTATTGCAGTTCATACATGCAATTTATTTTGTAAATGGTATTAATTTCTGTTGGATCTTTTGGTTTTCACAATATCGAATTAAGTGATTTGACTGGCTTGTGTACTGTATCTATTTCAAACCGTCTCAGTATTCTAGGCGTTATTTCAGAGATATTCTCTATATATGGTAGGAAGAATTTTCTTGTATTCTTTGTTAGTGGTTCTTTGTCGGTGTTATGACATTTTTAGATGAAATTTTGAGGATATGTATTCCTTATGGGACATTTTTCCTCAATTCTCTTCAATTCCGGAATGCTGCGATGGGTGTTGAACTCTTTTAAACAATGTTTGCACACAGTTTCTTTTGTGGGTTATTATTACTATAGCTGTATGCGTTGTTTTCCTATATACTTGTGTTTCCACATTTTCTGTGTTAGTTCCGATGATGAAGACATCTAAGAATGATTAAGTGATATATCTAAGAATGGAATTTTGTTGTCTAATTCCTCTTCTCTCGTGGTGAATTTAATGCCTTCAAATATGTTGGTTATTAATTTATGGGTATATTGCAAATCATTTATTTTAATTACTATTATTTAACTGTGTCTACGGCACAGCGGTAGGATGTTTGCCAGTCATGCAAGTGGAGGGGGTTCGATCCCCGGCCACTGACGCACTCCTTTACCTCGTTATGCCAGTAAGAGGACTTGCGAAGAGGGAAGGTTGGGCATGAGGTTAGCTTTGTAGCTTAGATGCTGTAGTGATAAAATTGACTGGTTCATTGCCAAATGTCGACCAAAACACCTGTCTAAAGGTAACTACACATACATTTCAAGCATTTATGTTGCAGTTGGATGTAGTCTCGTGGAACTGTCTTAATTCGCCGATGAATTTACTTTCTTTGTTGCCACCTCCCTTGGAAAATCCTTGTCAGTAGTCACTAGCGACTTCAGTACTTGTGACTACAGTTTCCTTACATTATTATGTTATGAAATTAATGTTAGTGTCTTGACACGGCCAGAAAATGGTCTTGATCTAGTGTTTAGAAATGACTTTGGCATATTTGAAGCTCGAAAAGAGCCCTACTACCTTATTCTGATTATTATATCATATGAATATTGCCCAACATATATGGGAAGCTGCGTGCGTCGGTGGCACAGCGGCTGGGGTGCTCTCCGCCGGTGCAGGTGGTCCGGGGTCCGATCCTCGGCCACCGATGCACTCCTTTACCTCGTTAAGCCAGTAATAAAAAGCTGGTAAAGAGGAAGGGTTAGGCATGAGGCTAGCAACCCCCATCCTGTCAAAATGATCACTACGGCTACAGAAACTTCAAGCCTGTAGCTTGAAGCCCTATGTTCCACTGGAAACGTGAAGGAATAAGAGAAAATATAGAAAGCTCCACGAAAGGGCCTTCTTGAAACTTGATAGAAAAACACTGCATAGATGTTTCTCCCATAACAACATACACAATCTAAGATGTATGTTAAAAGTTACAAACTGGGACTTACTGAGTGCGTTTTAGCTGCCACAATCACAAACGTGTAAGATGTTATCTCGAATTCTATCTTGATGTTTGTTGTCTAAAAGAGACACTCTTCTTAAGATATGACTACTTCTCCTCTTCTCACCCCAAAAAGCTTCGCCGAGAAAAAGAAAAGACAATCCTGGCGTGCAAAGAGACTGAACATTTTAATTATTTTTAAAAAGAGAAGATTAACTGAATTTAGAATTCATGTATTTGTAGATCTCTCATCCCTAATGGGTTGCAATCCTCAACGGGCTCACCTTGTAATCTAAAGGTTATCCATAACCGTCTGATATATAGTGAATGTTCATGTTTCCGAATAAATTTATTACTGTACGACCAGTTTAGTGTGCCGATGGCACAGCGGTAGAATGCTTGCCAGCCATGCAAGTAGGTGGTCTGGGGTCCGATTTCCGGCCACTGATGCACTCCTTTACCTCGCTATGCCAGTAATGGAACTGGCGAAAAGAGGATTTTGGACATGAGTCTGGCTAGCAACAACCCCATCCCGTAAAAAAAATAAACACTCACTGCTACTGGAACTTCAAGCCTGTAGTTTGAAGCCCTATTTTCCCCTGGGAACGGATAAGAAAGGAAAAAAGAAGCCTTATGAAGTGGAAATTAGCCAGACGGCATGGAAAATAAATGGTAAATTTAATAATCACTGTTATCCAATGATGCACACAATCACCATTTGATGATAAATACCAATACTTGATTAAATTTCAAAAAAAGAAAAGATTTTAACGGACTCTCAATGCAGGACATCTATTAACAGTGAACACTCGTGTCAAAATATCAAATGAACGACACCAAAAACAACGAAGATGAGTTTTTCCTCAAAGAAAAATTAGCTAAGATTTTCAAACAATCGTCTTAAGAAGTACTGAATGATTGTCTAGTAAATTCATCGAAACAAGCATTAATAAAAAATATAAGAGAACAGCTTCTTCAGAATAGACTAAGCTACAATATAATGCCTGAAAAACAGATTTCTCTGTCTCCTTAGAATCACCACCCAAATCATCAAAATGAAATGAGGAAGTACAGCATGATTTACGTCAATGTACCATACCTATAATCAAACAGAAAAAGAAACACAGTAACCAAATTAACACTCAAAAGCGAAATGCATTGAGGATATTGAAGACAAAGGAAGAACAACAGTAATCATGAACACAGTGTTAAATTATGATATTACGTAACACTGGAGAAAATTATAGTTCGTAAGATTGAAATTAATGTTAGTGAGCTAAAATCATTAATATGGATAATTATGCAATAAATGAAACTTAAGTTGAAATTCATTTACTAATCGAGTGAAAGATTAGTAGCACTGCCAATCTGTATGCATAAGTTTGGTTGCAACATTTGATCAGTGTCACTGACAGAGACCAGAGGGGAAACGTGTACTGTTTCTTTGGACAATGAGGATTCAGTTAGTTGATAGAG